TAATAAAATAATATTAAAATATTCATATTTTAATTATTATTGAGATTAGTCATGGAAGAGGATTATATGATTAATCTAAGTGAAGGAGACGAAGTAAGAAAGAAATTTGAAGAAAAACAACATTAGTGGGGCTTGCGTGCCTTTATTAAATATAATACGAGTTGGTAAGTATATATTTAAATATTATGGTGACACCTTGATGGAGTACAAACCTTATATTATATTTGTACACATGTAAAGGAAGGAAAATATAAGGAAATTGAAATTCAAGAAGTGTTGGAAGGACCGAATTATAAAGCATGAAAGTTTAGAGGGTCACACGGTAAATAAAGAAAAGTTTGAGGACTTATTTACAATTTTCAATATTTGAAGTTAAATGGAAATTTATTAACTAAGGAAAGTTAGATTATGTGGAGTATGAGATGTATATATGAAACTTACTATTACATGCAAATTATTTTATGCAAAATAGGAGAAGTTAATGGGAAACATGTGGAACCCCCAACATGTGAAGCAAAAGAAAGAATAAGATTAAAATTTATTGCATGCAATGTGATTGGTGCATTTAGTGGTCAAATGAAGAAAGAAGAAAGTGGGTTCATGTGATTTGAATGGTGTAACAAATGACCAATTAAAATATAAAGAAAAGTTGTGCATGAAATATAATTGGAAGAAATAGGTTGCAAAGGAAATAAAATAACAAGTGAGAAAATGAGGTGGCGAATGGAAGGCAATTAGGATAGATTTTGGACCAATGAGCAAAAGAGATACTTTATGCATGAAATGTGAGTGGAGTGTGAGTTGGCCTAATCAGAATAAGGAGCAAATAAAGAGATGAAAAGAGAAAGAATGGAATAAAGAAATCAAGAAAATTAAAAAAATGAAAAAGGTTGGAAAATGGATGTGGTGGGTGGAAAGGTTGCCAAGGCTTTTTGCCTTGTACCTTCACCTCATAAAAGAAAAGGAAACGTGCCAAAAAAGACATGGAGCTTTGGGCAATCCGCCCATGAAAGAAAATAAAGAGAAAAAGGAAAGACAACAATATGAAAAGCAAGTAACCTTGGGCAAGCCGCCCATGTGTGAACAAAATGGGGAAACCAAAGTCATTTCCAAGGCTTTTGCCTTGAGGAGTCTGCCCATAACAAAGTGAGAAGAGAAAGGGAGAAAGAAAGAAAGGCTGAAAGAAAGAGAGGAAGAAAGGAGGAAAAATAAAAAGGAAAGAAAAGATCGGCTTAGTGAACCTGAGACAAGGAAGGTAAAGAGATTTCATTTTTGCTTCAAATGCATGCTTTGTAAATCAATTGTAATGTGTGATTTTGTTTGTAGTAGCAAGAATCTACAAGGATTCAA